GAAGGCCACTAGAGCCGCCGCCCCCTGTTACACGGGGATTTGGCGTGCCGATTCTTTTACTGTTTGGGGCCTTTTTTGCGAACACTTCAGCCTTCGGCCCAACCCCGCGGGCCCAACGTCGTGCCACATAGGCGTCTCTAATAAGGCAGGCGGCGATGGTGGTTCGCCGCAGACGTCTTCTATAAATTTCGACTGAGGAGCTAGCGCTGTGTATCAGGAGGCAACGAGTTGGGTATAAATTGGTCGTACAGTCCTCTTGATTATGGCTAAGGCTCTTCCTTCTTGGTCGTATCTCCGCAGACGGACAACAGCTTGCTTTTCGGTTCATAGCTAATCGAAGTCAATTTCCATTTGTTATCGCCCCGCTTGTCCTGCACCTTCAAAATGCCACGGAACTTCTGGCCTAAGATATCCCTGCCCTCGCCTTCTGGCTTCGGAAACGAGCCGAATAGCCGCATCTCGATGTCTCCTGGTCCGATTTTGCGCAGACATTCGTTCCACATGTCGGGGAATGATTCCTTGCCCTTGTCTCCTTTCTCAAATGTCGCCTCGTTATCGTACTGCCATCTCTCTAAATGGCAAAGCATCCCTGCACCCGTGTCCCTCCGATGCATAACTACCGCAACGCAAGAACCAAACTCCTCTGAGTACACCCGCTTGTCTTCGCTGGAGAAAATATACATCTCACCGACCCCCACGTTGATGTCACCGCTCGCTTTGACATTGGTCGGCGTGGGCGTCAGGGAAGGGGAGGCGGCCGCCATTGAGAGCGCACGGAGCCCACCCAACAGTGGATCGCAATGGTTTGAGCCAAAGCCGCCCGAGCCGGAAAGGCTACGGACTCTCCGGGTTCAGCGCGCGCGGCCCCGCGTTGTCCTCGTGCCCACGACCCCCGCCCCCCCCTGCGGCCCCCTCCCCCCCTCCCTCGTGCTCCTCCCCCGCGCAGCCCTCCTCTGGGAGGAGGCCCAGGGCTCGGGGCTCGTTGGCTGCTCCTGGAGCTCGGGGGCCTCAGGAGCCCCGTTGCCGTGTCTCTGCGCGCTCGACTCGCGTCCACGCTCAGGAACCTCCCCCTCCAGCGAGCAGCAGGAGGAGGAATGGGATCTCGCACCTCGAATTTTCACGGTACGTCACTCTTGGGAGCCTCGGGAGGCATCCGGAAGCCGCCAGGGGCCCTGGAGGGTGTCGGGAAGCCCTGGGCGGGGAAGGCACGAGAAGCAGATGTGGGTGTCGCAGCGGCGGCGGTGGGAGAGTGCAGTGCCTGCAGGCGTCGATAGTGGAAGGAAGGCTGCTCAGGGGCACAATTGGGCGCAGTGGGATGCTGGGTGACGCGGAGTCGACGCGTAGGAGGTAGGAAGAATGCACCCTTGCGGCTCTTTTTGGGCGCTTTTGGGATCCACTGGGGGCCCCTGGAGATTACAGAGCCCTCTAATAATCTCCTGGGGCCTTTAGAAGCCCCAAGAGGCTCCCAAGAAGCCTCAGGAGGCTCCCAAAAATCCCCAAGAGGCTTCTAGAAGACTCTCGACAGGCCCGATATTGGCCTCAACAGGCCCCAAGAGGATTCCATTAAACCCCAAAAATCGCCCAAGAGGCGCTCAGAAGTACCAGCCATCCACGAGATTCTAATCAGGATTCATGAGGTTCTGACCCACCACCCACGCACGATTGGCCGAAGATCTGTGCAATGAAAGCAAATAAATGAACAATTGTTCAAATAAACGCACGTAAATGCGGAAAGGATGCGGGGAGGTGAGGCAGCGCAACTCGGGGCAGCCCCGGGAGCGCGAGGAAGGAGATACTGCAGGAGGAGACGCGGTGCGAACGCTCAGTGGCTGAGCGCGCGCGCGCCGGCACTGGGCGGCTCATGGTCCGAGGAATCTTCGGACGACGGCTCCAGGTCGACAACCGTGCGCTTCGGGGGGGGGCCTCTTGTCCACCGCTGGGATCTCGGGAAGCTGGAGGCGCGCCGCCGCGGCATCCTCAGTGGCAACCGCTGCCTCCGTGTCGGAGCCGCCGTCGTCGTAGGCGCGGTTCGCCTTGCTCTTCGCCTCCTGCTGCAGGCTCTCCTCGTCGTTGGCGTCCATCTTTTGGACATCTTTCGACAACTTCCACCAGAGCTTGCGCGAGCGCTTCTTCTCGGAGACGAGCATCTTCGATCTCCTTCCTTCTGGAAGAGGTTATCTGGCGGGTCGTGCCAGCCCCGAGCCACTTGCGCGTGCAGCCAGTCCCAATCCCACGCGGGGAGACTGTCCCACTCGATTCCGTCAGCCAACACCCAGTGCCCCCTCCACTTCTGGTCGTCCTCCTTGTACGGCTTCACCACCGACCCCATAGCGAGAGGCTCGACCGTGGGCAGGTGCTTGAGGACGTCGATGGGGCGCATCTCGCTGACGTCCATCTGCTTGGCCAGGACCGCCTCCCGGCACAGCGTCTTGAGGTCTTTGATGTCGTACTGCGGGTGGGCGGCCACGAAGTGCCGGGCTTGTTGGGGGACGGCGTCGAAGTCGATCCATTCGACCAAGGCGCTCCCCTTCCCAGGCGTGTACTTCGTCCCACAATGGCAGTGCCACGCTTGGCCAACTCCTTCCTGCTCGATCTCCTGATTGATCCTGAGCAATTGCGCCCACCTGTCAGTCCGGATCGCAGCCTTGCACCGCACGTGCTGCTTTTTCTCCATGTCGTAGTCCGTCTTGCCGCCGCAACAGTAGTATGTGTTGAGCCCCGGCACCGCTCCCCAATCAGCACCGTTGGCACTCATGTTGCCGGGCTCGAGCCTGTGCAGCCTGAAGAGAAGAGGAAGACGGATGATGGGAAAGGGATAACGAAGCGGCAGAGAATGAGGAGATGTGGATCTGGCAATCGGCGTCCATCAGGAGGACGAGGAGGAGGAGGAGGAGGAGGAGAACGCCCCTTTCAGATTCTCTTGAGACCTGCGAAGTTCCTTGGAGGTCATCTGAGATTTCTGCAGGTCTCTGCAGGCACACACATCCAAAGTTCTTGGAAATCCTACTTTCTATTGTCGTATTTTTTCTTGCTGTCTTCGTCGCCATCGCCGTTTTCGTCGCTGTCCCTGTCGTCGTCGTCGCCCCAGGCGCCTTCGCCCCGTCGGCGCGGCGGCGTTGTCCGATCGACTCGCGACCGCTGGGGGTCGCCTCCGTGGGGCCTGAGGTGTTTAGCAGGGTAACTACAACATGAGACGATTCGACATAGCGCGACATGGTTCAACATAACGTCGTCGTCGTCCTCGTCGTCTGGGCTTGTATCGTCAACGACAGCGTCATCGTCGGCCATGTTATCGCTCCCGTTGTCATCCGGCTTGTATCGTCAACGACAGCGTCATCGTCGGCCATGTTATCGCTCCCGTTGTCATCCATGAGGGCATACATCCGGAGACCTCGCCTGAAAGCTCTCTCTTTCTTGTGGTCTTCGCGCCATATCCCCCTCCTCCTCCTCCTCTTTCTCCTCCTCCTCCTTCTCCTCCTCCTCCTCCTCATCCCAATCCTCCTCCATCTCCTCCTCCTCCTCCTGCCTGCTCCTCCATCACCTCATGATCTTCATCTTGTTCTCACTCTTCAATCAGGGCGCAATATAAAGGAGGCCAACCCTGTCTACCCCGCGCGCCCTGCCGCTGCGAGAGCACAGCGGCGCAACTCGGGGCAGCCCCGGAAGCGTCCGCGAGGTGCGCGCAGACGCCGCGCATCAGAAAAAGCAATTTCGGCAAAGGGCCGTAACCAGATGGGGCCACTCCTCCTTGCCCCGAAACCTCTGCTGCTACGAGGGATAACGACGGCGAAGATGGATGCGCCGAGCGCGCTAGCGGCGATGATGAAGATTATATCGATGAAATTTCGAATGCGAAGATGGCCGGTACGACGGGGTCGATGGTGCACGGCGTATCTGCGACAACTGTCTGAATTCACGGCGGGGAACCCGCTCTGCGCACATGTATGCAAATAAATTTCCTGGGTGAAAATTAATATGAATGCGGCACACGCAAAATCACGTGCCAGTGCAACATATGTAAATGAAAGGATATAAGAGGGCCAGGGCGTAACTCGGGGCAACCCCGGAAGCGCTCCTTCTCCCTCGGACGATGCACAGAGAGAGAGAGGGAGGGAGAGAGAGAGAGAGAGAGAGAGAGAGAGAGAGAGAGAGAGAGAGAGAGCAGCTCAATGCATGGCGCTGATTATGAGCTAATGGAGCGCGAGTGCGCAGTGGCACCGCGGCTTCCGCTGGCATGGCGCGAGAGCTACACATCAACGCGCGCCCTGAAAATGACCCTGCGCGAGTGTGTTTCTTTTTGCGGTGTCTTTTGTGGTTCCCTGGTGAATCTCGTGGGGCCTTCTTGGATTTCCTTGGCGGCTCCTCGGGTATTCGGTTCGAAATCTCGGGAGCTCCCTTTAGCAAGGCTCCGGGGGCTCCGACAGGATCCCAGGAAGGTCTGAGAGATCTCCAAGAGAGCCCCCCCAAAGAGACACAAAGTATATGCAAGAGTGTACCTCTTTTTGGATGCGTTGGGCCTTCTTGGATTCCTTGTGAGCTCTTTGGGGATTCGGAAAATCTCGGGAACTCTCTGAAACAGGTTCCAGGGGGCTCCGAAAGGGACCCAGCAGGGCTCCTTGAGGGCACCCTCAGAGATACAAAGTATATGCGCCTGTGTGACTCTTTTCGGGTGCCTTTTGGGATCCACTGGGGGTCCCTGGAGATTAGCGAGCCCTCTAATAATCTCCTGTGGCCTCAAGAACCCCCAAAAGGCGCCCGAGAAACCTCAAGAGCTCCCACAAACCCCCAAGAGGCTCCCAGAAAACTCCCAACAGGCCCGATACTGACCTCAAGAGGCCCCAAGAGGATTCCATTAAATCCCAAAAGACGCCCAAGAGGCGCTCAGAAATATCAGCCATCCACGAGATCCCAACCATCCATGAGGTTCTGATGCGCGGAGGTCGGCTGACGGCCAGAATGCGCCCGGGTCCAAGGCGCCCCCTCATCACTCAAATTCGCTCGTGTTGACTCGCAAGCGCTTGCGCTCCTCCGTGGCGTCGGCGTCCGCCAAGATGGCCTCGAGCTTGCGCTTCTTGAACGTGCCCTCGCCCTTGGGGTTGACCGTGCGCTTGCCTCGAGGGCGCACTGAACCCCCGTCGCCCGTCGAGAGCCCGGGCGCTCGGTCTGCATGTGACTCGGGCTCTCCCGCCAAGGGCCCGTGGAAATTTGCAGGGCGACTGCGGGCGACTGGGCCCACTGCCGAGAATTCATGCCCGGGCCCACCCAACCAGGAATGAAGAAGGGAAACCGAACGGGGCCACCTATGTCTACCCCGAGCCCCCGGGCGCGGCAGTGCCAATTCGCTAGAAAACAACGCTCAGGCCGCCTGGCGCCGCCTCGGCCCTCGAGGTGGACTCCCCCGCGTCGGCGACACCAGCGACCCTGTCGACGAGATGCGCCGCGACCAGCGCCGCCAGGCCGTCGGATATCTTCTGGGCCAGGTCCGTCCTGTACCACGAATCCCTCTTGTTTCGGAGCCACTGCCTCGCGTCCGCCGCCGTGAAAGTCTGCTCCTTGGGGGCGCGGATGAGCAAAAATTGCCGCATCAGCTCGGACGGCGTGAGACCCTTCACCGCGGCCTGCGCGACGTCGGGAGCTGCCAGAACGGCCGCCGAACATCCGCCAACGCCCCTGCAGTCGGCACCAGAGCGATGATTGCCCTCGGCGGCTGCGGCCTTCTGGGCTGCGTGGAAACGGTACAACCCGAAATGCAGTTCAATTTGGCGCAGCACCTTGTGGAGGCCCATCGTGACGTCGTTGACACTGGGGGGGCGACGCCAGCGAGCGGCATCGAGGGGCGGAAGCGGCGCCAGGGCGCCGCCGCCGCCCTGGGCGGCATGCTGGGCGATGTAGTCCCTGGCGAACTGGGCCCCGCGGTGCACCCGGTGCGTTCCGCGAAGCAGATCGCTGTGAAAGAAATTCAACTTCGCCTTGAACACCTGTGGCATCGGCACGGTCTGACAGATGTCATCCAGAGCCTGCTTCGCAGCACGGTATATGGTGTAGGCGTAGCCGTCGAGCGAGAGTGCGCTGGCGACAGCGGAACAATGCGCGTGCATCCATCCGTGCAGCCGCTCGATGAATGAGTCGCTCTGTTCGAAATCGACCCCGTCGTCTGCGCGCGCGTCCTGGAGGGTCCCGCCAAGACCCGCTGCACTCGGAAACAGCCACGAGAGTCGGGCACGACCAAGATGAGGCCAGAAGAAGCGGGCCAAAAAGAAGCGAACTTGAGGACTCAGGCCGAATATGGGCCAGAAGATGTTAGCTTGAGGAGTGAGGCCGAGTGTTCGGCCGCGTGGTAGGGAGGATGACGACATGTGATGGGCCCAGGGTTCACCCGCTGTCATGGAGGACCCACACCGTCTGCATGCGCTTCTGGAACCCGTGCACTATCGGCATGGCGATGAACTCGACGACCTCCGTCTGGCCCGAGCACTTGAGCATGAAATTGTAGTTGTCCAAAGACACCTTGCCGTTGCCGGTCGCCGGTCCGTCGTACTCGCTCTGCGTCCACGTGTTAAGCTTCGCGCAGCTGAGATACTGCACCCCGGACTCCTGGTCGCTGAAGGGCGTCAGGAACGTGTTGGCGGCCTCGTCGCTGGAAATGCCGCACCGCCTGTGTTCTTCGAGTTGCTTCCGAATGCCCTCCGTGGTGCAGTCCGTGTTCACAACCAACTTGTCTTTGAAAACAGGGGAGGCCTCCGGGACCTGCGTCAACCATTTATCCGTGCACTGCATCAAAGGTGACTTCCGCGTGGAGGGCGCACTGCCAATCAAGAGGGGCTGGCCAGGGGAAATGTAATGGCCTGGCGACGGCAAGTGCGTGAGCGTCGTTCCAGGCGCCTCGATGAAACCCATGTTGCGCTCGACAGCGGCGAGCAGCGCTTCCGCGGACAGACCCCGGGCCTTGCCTGCGGCGTGGACGGCGTCCGCCAACAGCTTCGGCGCGATGGTGCGCAAATCGAAATCAAGCTCGCTGGCAATCTGGCGGTGGGACCGGGTGTCCTCCCACGCCCTCATGACCCTGTGGCGCACTGTCTCGTGCACCTCCTCCTTCGTTTTAAATCCCTCGAAGACGATATCGGGGAACAAGAACTCTTCGATCGCTTTCGATGCCTCGTCCTCCGGGAGCTCTTCGACTATAGCCTGCAATGCGGCAAGACTCTCGCCCGTGGGGTCTGGGACGCGAAAGCTGGCACTCTCTGCAAGAGAATCCTCGAATCGCGCCCCATTCCTGAAGGAGGTGAACGACGCATGCGACGTCTTCTCCGCAGAAACTGGCGACTCAGGCGGGGGCTGAGAGGCGAGCTCGGGTCTCTTCCGAGATCCGTCAACGATTAGACCTGGGCCGGCTGGTGAGCCCGCGGGGGAAGGGGGGCTCGGGGCAACCCCGGCACCGCCCCCCCCAGGTGCCGCCGACGCGCCGCCCGGCGCGAGCAGCAGAACGCCCCGGAAATGCAGGAGGACGAGGAGCGCGTGGAAGTAGCAGTCGCCCCCGTCGCGGACGCGCGACTCCAACGCGAGATCGCCGCTGCGACCAGCGACGGACGCCACCATGTCGGCCCACTTCGGTGACGGGCACGGGGGCAACTGGCCATGCTCGTCGACGTGAAGCAGCGGCAAGAAGTGACACCCATCCTCCGCGGACTCGTAATCGTTCTCCAACCCGCCGTGGACCAGGACAGCGTCTTCCCTCGGGTCGGGAACGGTGAAATCTGAATCGCGGAAGTGGGCGGCAGACACGGACACGACTTGGGATGGCAGCGGCCGGGACCCGGGGGCCAACCGAGACTGGAGACAATCCCTCATGTCATCCCACGCCGCGGAATCGCCCCATACGACGGCACGACGCGCCACGGCAGAACTGATCTCGGTGGCGCGAAGTGTCTCGTCGCCGCGGGCGTCGGCGAGGCACGCCCGCAGAGCGGCGAGGCCCTGCTCCTGCGCCAACCCGCACAGGGCGACCTCGCGGAACATGGCGGTGGAGTCCATCTGCAACTGTCGAAACTCCTACCCGACGGGCCCCCCGGCGCGGGCAATCCTCGAACCAGGCGCTATCGCGCGGGACAACCACGGACGCCGCCGAGGGAAGGCAGCTAACTTGAGGGGTGGGCCCCGAGGAGGAGGCGGAGGAGGAGGGGGAGAGGAGGAGGGCAAGGGAGAGGAGAAGAAGGAGGAGGGAGAAGAAGGAGGAGGGAGAAGAAGGAGGAGGGAGAAGAAGGAGGAGGGGAAGGGGAAGCTTAAAGCCGTCAGAAACCTATAGATGTATTTACACACACAAATGCCGCAACGCATTCAGATATGGCGCGTGGCGACCCTCACTCTGACCTCACATCGCGCTCTTCTTGGCGTCGATATAGTCGATGGCGTCCTGATGGCCCTTCGCGTTCTTCACGTCATTGGTGCCGTCTTTGTTCACGGACTGCTCTGCCATTCCTTTAAGTTGCACGCGTTTCCTTCTCGCTTCGTCGTACTTCTCCTTCGCCTGCTTCTTGTACTTCGCATATTCGGGGCAAGCGGCGTGTCCGGCCACCGCGTCGAACGCCCTCGTGGTCTTGTTCCACCTCTTGCCGGCCTGCTCCATGAGACCGTCGCCTGCCGCCTCCAGCTTGTGCGCCTCCTGGTTCGACATGCCGCCCGCAGCGCCGCCCTCCCAGAGCCGCGCCCTTGCGGAGCCGCGGGGGCAGTCCGAGCGCCCGGGCCCCGGCCTGCGACGGCCCGAGCCCAGATGGCCACAACGGCCACGGAGGGGCGGCGGCCCCCCCCTTGCCCGCCTCGGGCGGCGAGGGGGGGGCCATCCCCACGCGGCCCTGGCCCGCCAAGAGTGCGGGGAGGCCCGCGGACGTCCGCGACGCCTCCGCTGCCACCCCCCAAAAAAACCCACTGGGCCGACGTCGAGGAGTAGGGCGGCACCGAGAGCGGGAGCGGCATCGCCCGGAGGAGGAGGAGGAGGAGGCGAGGACAAGAATGACGACGGCGGGGGCGACCTGCAGGGAGTCGAGGCCACGGGAGCTCTCGACCATGCGGCAGTCCAAGGGGCCGCTGACAGGCTGGAACAGTTGGACACAGAACCCAAAAGGAAACTTGTGGAGTGCCAAATCGAAACAACGATCACAACATCCTCCAACAAAGGCTCCAACTGCAATTCCAACAAGGGAGCTCCGGCGGGCCCAGGCGGGGTTGAATTCGAGGTTAACCGAGAGCATTTTGAGACCGACGACGAATCGTGATTGCTTTTTTATTTCCATTGTTTCTTCTGTATATCGTTGTGTGGATTATCACCTTCGGGGCGCTTTTAATAGGCAAATATGAATGTGCGATTCGCCGCTGTAGTTGTTTGCTTTCATTGAATTTTGTTCCCACCAGAATATTGTCTCCTGCGTCTTGGGGATGCCCAAAGCCCCCCATGCCCCCTGGGGCCCGTCCACGGCGGGATGTCTCTGGTGGGTATTTCCAGAGCCCACCAGGGCCCGTCCTCGCCGCGCGGCGGAAGATGTACCTTTGGCAGAGGGGCGCAGGCTAAGCGGAGCACCGATCCCGACCCCGAGCCCCTGGTGAAACGGTTGCACGGTTGCCGGGGACGCAACTCAGGGGGAACAGGGGCAACGGCCGCGGGGATCGCGCAGTCGCTGCGAGGCGGAGGGCGAATACTCGGCAGATGGCGCAAGGGCGCGTCTCGGGGCAACCCCGGAACCGCCGCGCGGCGGTGGGCATATCTTGGGCAGATGGGTCGCCACTGACAGGCGGCCACCCCTCTCGACCCCGACCCCGCCGCCGCTACGAGGCCACGGCTCCCCTGGGAGGCAGCTAGAGGCAGCCAAAGGAAACCTCAATTCGATATACCCCTCACGCACGTCATGTCTCGGGCCCTCAACTGACCCCTCGGATGGCCTAACTGAGCTTAAACTCGAAACCACCCTCACCCAAGGTCATCAGCTAAACCCCAAGACCGCTCAACCCCCAAGGGATGATTGGTACCAAGCCCCTTCGAAGCCGCACCCCCGAACACCAACTGAATCCAAAATCTGCGTGCGAGTTTTCCCTGCGGAGACCCGCCATGACTCCCGCTCTGCGGGCTCAATAAATTCAAATAAATGCCACAAGGAACAAGTAAATACACTTAAATGCGGAAGTCGCTCGCCACAGAAATGCTACTACAGCAAATTAAACATATGCGAAGGCAAAGACCCAACTCGGGGCAACCCCGGAAACGTCTCGCCTTGACCCTCAGCCGAGGCCCCGCTGACAGAGGGGCCCGCGCCATTACATCAGACGAGCAAAATCCGCCACTGTGCCTCGAGACACGAGTTCGGGGCTCCTCGATTGCTCCTTGACGGCCCCAGCGGCCCCCATGAGCGCCCGAAGATGACCAAAAAAAACAAAACAACCGATATTGCTCCAACGGGACCCCAGGGCACCCCCAAAACGGCCCCATTGCGGCACCCGGAATGTCCCGAGAAGATCCGGGACCCCCAAGACATCCGAAGAGTCCCCCACGGCCCCCGGTGACACACCGCGAGCCCCAGCGGCCCCCATGAGCGCCCGAAGACGGCTCCAAATGAGGAGTATATATATATATATTAATTTCTTATATTGACTTATATGAAGCAATGAGAATATTAATATGATAGATTATTAAGTCGATATTATATCATTATAAAACAAAAATAGAGACATTATAAGCAAGAGGAATTTAGGCACTATTATTATTAATTATATTTATTATTAACCTATTCAATAATTAATATAACCGAAGCATCAACAAAATTCATTAGATATCATAATCTATACAACATAACAAACGGAGCCCCAACGGAGCCCCAGGGCAACCACAAAACGGCCCCATTGCGCCACCCAGGATGCCCCGCGAAGATCCGGGACGCCCAACACATCCGAAGAGTCCCCCACGGCCCCCCGTGACACACCGTGACGCCCCCGCAGGAAGCCTCGCGCCCGCGACCCAGGCCGGCCAGGGGGCAGATTGGGCCGAAGGCTCGGGGATCCGCTTGGTCAGAGTGTTCTTACCGCAGCGGCGCGCCGATTCGACGCCCTGGGAAAGGAACGCGTCGAGGAAGTGGAACGTGAAACACCGCATATCCCTGAAAGCTGCCGCAGGCACGCGAATCTTCTCACTTTTCTCGGCCGAGATGAACTTCCTGAAGAGGAAATCGGACAGCTCGTCGCAACCAGCCCAGTCGACCGGCGCATCGCCGTCGTAAACACTCCCCGCGAGCTCAAAAATAAAAAAACAAAAGAAAAAAAAAACACAAGGAAAAAACAAAAAAATCTAAACGAAAAAAAATTGAAAAAGAAAAAAAAAAAAAGAAAAAAAAAAAAGAAAATCGCAGAAAAAAAAAAAAAAAAAAAAAAAAAAAAACACAAAACAAAAAAAAAAAAAAAAAAAAAAAAAAAAAAAACAATAAAAAAAAAACAAAAAAAAAAAAAAAAAATTAAAAAAAAAAAATAAAAAAAAAAGAAAAAAAAAAACTAAAGAAAAAAAAAAAAAAAAAAGCCAAAAAACAAAAAAAAAAATAACTAAAAAAAAAAAAAAAAAAAAAGAAGGTCATCCAGGACGTTGGCAAGCCTGCGCTTCCGCTTGCTGGCCACGAACGTCTTCGTCTGGATAGAGCCTGACATCCGGACGGCCAGCGCAGTCATGGACATCTTCTTCACGCGGTCTTTATTCGCCCACTCGGCCACAGCGAAAGCGTCGCTCACCAGAGCGCGCAGGACGTACTCGAGGTGCTCGTGGACGGCACCCACGGCCTCATCGGTGATTTTCAGCGGCGCGCCTTCTGCGTGGCCGGACCTCTTCGCCGACAACAGCGGCAGCAGGGCGCGGATGATCCGCGCCACTTTGGCGCGCGGGATCAGGAGTGGGGCGTCCGCCAACGGGTTCTCCTCCGTCTCCGCCTCCTCCGCCGCCGGCTCGGCGGGCAGGGCCGCCGACGCCGCGTCATCGACCGCCGCCTGGCGGCACCAGCGGATTAGGTGGTAGACAAGTGCAGGCTTCTTCTCCCGGATCACGTCCCGGTGCAACATGGCAGCCTGGCCGATTTGTCTCAGCGCCCCGATTGACATTGTGAGCAGCGTCGCGTGCATGCCCCGGAAGTCCACGACGCGGTCGAACAGCTTCTGCTTGTCGCCCAGTGCTGCCTCCACCACCTCGTTCCAGACGAGGCCTCCGCGCCGCGACAGGAAGGAGCTCGCCAGCCTCCACTTCGCCTGCTCTTCTTCCGCGCCGATGCCCTGGCCGACGAGCACGCGGCCCTGCCCCTGGAAGGTAGCGATATGGGAGGAGGGAACGACGATTTTGGAGCCCACTTGGGGGAACCACTTGGGCCCGCTTGGGGGAACCCCCGCCCGCGGACGAGGCCAGTGATTTTCCAGCCATGCCGCATGAAGAATCCCAATATCCCGTCTACCCTCTGGGCGCAGGTGGCCCAACCGCCCTCCCGCCTCCTGGCCCTCCGCGTCGTCCTGGGCGCCCGCGCGCTCGGGGGAAACCGCGCGCAGCACCGTGCCCCCTTGCGCGCCCTCCACCTCGCGCCGCCATTCGGTGCGGTTCTCTACGATGCCACCGAGGTGCAACACCAGCACTTCCGTGCACCCGCCGAACAGCTGGCCCCACTCCTCCGTACCTCGGTCGGGCAAGCACACGTCGGCCAAGTCGGCCACCTTGATCACCTCCTTGTTGGCGATCTCGAACACCGCCTCCGGCCTGAACTTCTCGCGGCCGGCCCTCATCCTCACGCGGGTGACGTGCCAGTCCCGCCCACCCTGGAGGAACCGACGTCGCCAGTAATCGGTCTTCAACCCGCGGTACTCCTTAGTCTTGATGCCCTTCACTGCCATCTTCAAATACTGCGAATATACTATCATATGCTGCGTCATTGCCCTCGCGGGCAGCCCCGCGGGCGGGCCGTCAGCGACTGGGGGGGGAATTGGGCTCGGGGCATCCCCGGCACCGTCTCCCCCCCGGACCACGGGCGGCAGGTCCGCCGATCTCGCGGGCGGGCCGTCAGCGACTGGGGGGGGAATTGGGCTCGGGGCATCCCCGGCACCGTCTCCCCCCGTGACCGCGGGCGGCAGGTCCGCCGATCTCGCGGGCGGGCCATCAGCGACTGGGGGGGGAACTGGGCTCGGGGCATCCCCGGCACCGCCTCCCCCTCGGACCGCGGGCGGCGGGTCCGCCGATCTCGACAACGCAGCGCCATCGGGAGCCGCCATCGGGCGCGACTGCGGGGCTCTTGGCGAGGGCACCCCGGGCGCCAGGGCAGGCGCGCCACGGCCGTCGGCAGCGCCAGGTTGACCGTCGGCGCCCAAGACTGAGACGAGCTCCTTGCCCGAAGTGCTCCGCAACGTCGCCCAGCCGACTTTGTCTCCGATCCTCACGTGCACCCGCATCACCGGGCCCTCCATCCGAGGCACGGCGAGGCCCTCGAGACGGTCCCCCACTTGGAGGCGCTTCGCGACTTCCGAGGAGAGGTCTGGGGATTCGGACAGAATGGTAGCGACCACGCACTGCCATACCGTCTTTTCGCCACTCTCCCCCGCAACGTCGCCCTCTTCGGACGCCTGGGCCACGCCTCCCGCGCCCGCGGCACCAGCGCAGGCGGCGCCCTCGAGGGGCCTGGCCGCGCTGGCGGCGGCAGCGCCGACGCCCTGCTCCGCAGCGCCCCCTGCGCCCGCGGCGCCCTCGGTGCAACCGCCCGTGGCGACGCCGGCCTTTCTCTCCTCCGCGAGCGCCAACCCTTCCGGCACATCTTGCCTGCACGCAGGGCAAATCAGGCCGAGCGCGTCCACCTTGGACCAACTTGAAACGAGGCAGTCGGAGCAGAACGAATGCCTGCAAGGTAGGTGGCGGCACGGGACATCCCCCATGCAAATCCTACAATTCGCGGGCGCCGGATCGCCGGGGCGTCCGCCCTTGCACCGCTCGAGCACGCTGTTGATATAGTCCATATCCCGGGCGCTGCGGGACACGCTCGCGTCCAGTCCGGACAGCAATTCGTAATCCTCAGGGACGATACGCCGATGCTGCAGATCCTCGACGGCCTTCTTGTCATGATCTGAGAGCACCTCCATTAGCAGCTCGTAGTGGGCTGGGTAGCGTTGTCGAGTGCGGTGCGCGCTTGCTAGGGCGCCCTGCGCTGCCCTTCGAGACATGATGACTGCGGACATGACGACAGCGGAGCTGGAAGCGGAACAAAAGCGAGAGGAGGAGCAGGAATAGGAATAGGAGTCAACCAAGACGACTCGATCGTGCCACCAGGCTGGCCCCCCCAAGGCCCCGGGCCCTCGGGGGTGCACATGGCGCGCACCTGAAAGCGGCTACCCCCCTCACCCCGGACCCTCCGCCGCAACATCGAGGGGCCGCCCCCCTCTACCCCGAGCCCCCCGCCGACGTGTTGGATGGCGACGGCGGAGATCATGCGCCGACGACGGGGCGGCGACGATGATGGTGACATTGATAGCCGACGCCGCTGGCGACCGCCTCTGTTCCCTCCCATGGCAAGGGCAATCCGCGCCACTCTTTCCCCCAGGTACAACACGGTGTCCTCACCCCAAAAGCCGCCCCAGGAGAGCGCGATGCACGCACTTAAACGCGGCATGCTTTAAACGCGGGTGACAGCAGAAAATGCAACTTCGCGCGCCCCGATCGCACGAAGCAGCGCGGCTGATGCGTCGTTGGAGGGGAGGAAGCGAGGGAACTTCAATGAGTCGAGGAGGGGAGAAGTAGATTAGCAAGAGCCGCCGAAGCCGATTTCAGGGCAGACCAGATGATGCCCGCAGCTTAGCTGAGGTCACTGAAAGACTGGGCCGACACAGCCGATCGCGGGGCAACCCCGGCCACCGACCTATACGCTCTTTGCAAGCCGGTGTCCCCAATCACCAGCGCGACGAGAATGCAGTCTGCGCTGGGAGAGAAGCGTAGCAGTCACCTGACGACCCCTCTCGGCGCGCGAATTTGCCGCCCCCATCACTCGAATTCGCTCGTGCTCACCCGCAGGCGCTTCCGTTCCTCCGTGGCATCTGCGTCCGCAACGATCTCCTCGAGCTTCCGCTTCTTGAACATGCCCTTGCCCTTGGGGTTGCCCTTGCGCTTGCCTCGTGGGCTCGCTGAACGACCATCGAAAGCCCGGGCACTCCGGTCTGAATGAGACCTGGATTTCCCACTGCGAAACCAAAAGAATCTCGGGGGCAACACAGGGAACTATCCACTGATTCCAGGGAAACTGCCGACGATTGATGCCTGGGCCCCACTGGCCCGGAGTGACGGGGGAGAGCGACGGGGGCCCCTGGACGCGGCAGTGCCAACTCGCTAGACCACGACGCTCCAGACCCCAGCCGCCTTGCGCCGCCTTGGCCCTCTGCGTGGAGTCCCCCGCATCGGCGGAGTCCGCGACCCTGTCCAGGAGATGAGCCGCGACCAGCGCTGTCAAGCCGTCGGAGATCTTCTTTGCCAGGTCCGTTCTGAACCACGTGTCCCTCTTATTCCTGAGCCACTGCCTCGCATCCGCCTCCGTGAAAATCTGCCCCTTGGGAGCGCGAGTGAGCAGGAACTGCCGCATCAGCTCGGACGGCATGAGGGCCCTCATCGCTATCTCCGCGACGTCAGGAGCGGCCAGCACGGCCGCCGAAGATCCGCCTGCGCACCTGCCGTCGCCGCCGGAGCGATGGTTGCCCTCGGCAGCGTGGGCGACGTGGAAGCGATACAACCCGAAGTGAAGTTCAATTTGGCGGAGAACCTTGTGGAGCCCCATCGTGATTTCGTTCGCGCTGGGAAGACAACGTTCGCAAGCAGAATCAAAAGGCGGTTGCGACGCCAGGGCGTCGTCGCCCTGGGCAGCATGCCGGGCGATGAAAAGCCTGGCGAACTGGTTCCCGCGGTGCACCCGGTGCGTTGCGCGAAGCAAGTCGCCGTGAAAGAAATTCAACTTCGTCTTGAATGCCGGCGGCATTGGCACGGTCTGACAGATATCATCAAAAGCCTGCTTCGCAGCACGGTATATGGTGTAGGCGAAGCCGTCGAGCGAGAGAACGCTGGCGACATCAGAACACTGCTCGTGCATCCACCCGTGCAGACGCTCGATGAAGGAGTCGCTCTGTTCGGAATCGACCCCGTCGTCCGCGCGCACGTCCTGGAGGGCCCCGCAGGAGCCGCTTCGCATAGGAACAACATCGATCCGAAGAGGGCCGGTCTCCCCCAAAACGCCAGGGGAGCCCTCGAGCTCCAAGCCACTCGAGAACAGCCCCGAGAATGGGACACGACCAGGACGGGACCAAAGGAAAAGATTGGGAGGGGCCAGAACCTGTGGGCTCGGGGAGCGAGGCCAAGAGACACGCGGCGGAAAATCGCAACCAAGCTCGGGATGGCGAAATATGATGGGCCCAGGGTTGACCCGCTGTCGTGGAGAACCCACACCGTCTGCATGCGCTTCTGGAACCCGTGCACTTTCGGCATGACGATAAACTCGACGACCTCTGTCTGGCCCGCGCACTTGAGCATGAAATTGTAATTGTCCAAAGACACCTTGCCGTTGCCAGTCGCCGGTCCGTCGTGCTCGCTCTGCGTCCACGTGTTAAGCTTCGCGCAGCTGAGATAGTGCACCCCGGACTCCACGTCGCTGAAGGGCGTCTGGAACGTGTTTGCGGCCTCGTCGCTGGAGATGCCGCACCGGCCGTGTTCTTCAAGCTGCTTCCGAATGCCCTTCGTGGTGCAGTCCGTGTTCATGACCAACTTGTCTTTGAAAACAGGGGAGGCCTCCGGGACCTGCGTCAACCACTTGTCCGTGCGCTGCATCAAGGCCGACTTCCGCGTGGAGGACGCGCTGCCGATCAAGAGGGGCTGGCCAGGGGAAACGTAATGACCTGACTGCCGCAAGTGCGTCAGCTTTGTTCCGGGCGCCTCGATGAAACCCATGTTGCACTCCACGGCAGAGAGCAGCGCCTCCGCAGAGAGACCCCGGGCCTTTGCTGCGGTGTGCACGGCGTCCGCCAACGGCTTCGGCGCGATGGTGCGCAAATCGAAATCCAGCTCGCTGGCAATCTGGCGGTGAGACCGGGTGTCCTCCCACGCCTTCATGACCCTCTGGCGCACTGTCTCGTAAACCTCCTCCTTCGTCTTAAAACCCTCGAAGACGACGTCAGGAAACAGGAACTCTTCGATCGCGTTCGATACCTCGTCCTCTGGGAGCCCTTCGACTTTGGCCTGCAATGCGGCGACGCTCTCGCCCGTGGGGTCCGGGGCGCGAAGACTGGCACTCGCTGCAAAGGAGTCCTCAAACCGCGCACCATTCCTGAAGGAGGTGAACTGTGTGCTCGGCAGAGAGACCTGAGTCGCAGGTGACGCTTGCTCCGCGGGAATGGGCGACTCAGGCGGGGGCTGAGAGTCGGGCTCGGGGCTCTTCCGAGGCGTCGCAGGGGGGCGCAACCCCGCGAGCGGGCCGTCAGCGATTGGGACTGGACCGGCTGGTGAGCTCGAGGGAGGAGGTGGGCTCGGGGCAGCCCCGGCACCACCTCCCCCCGGGGCCGCGGACACGCCGCTCGGCGCGAGCATGAGCACGCCCCGGAAATGCAGGAGGACGAGAAGCGCGTGGAAGTAGCAGTCGCCCCCGTCACGGACGCGCGACTCCAGCGCGAGATCACCACTGCGAGCGGCGACGGCCGCCGCCATGTCGGCCCATTTCGGTGACGAGCACGGGGGCAACAGGCGGTACTCGTCGACATGGAGCAGCGGCAAGAAGTGGCACCCATCCTCCGCGGACCCGTACCCGTTGTCCAGCCCACCATGGACAATGACAGCGTCCTCCTTGGGGTCGGGAACGATGAAATCTGCGTCGGCAGCACAGACGGCGATGACTTCAGATGGCAACGGCCGAGAGCCGGGGGCCAAGCGAGTCTGGAGAACAACCTTTATATCACCCCACGCCGAGGAATCGCCCCACGCGACAGCACGACGTGCCATGGCAGAAGTGATCTCGGTGAAGCGAAGTGTCTCATCGCCGCGAGCGTCGGCGAGGCACGCCCGTAGAGCGGCGATGCCCTGCTCCTGCGCCAACCCGCACAGGGCGACCTCGCGAAACATTGCGGTGGAGTCCATCTGCAACTTTCGAATCTCCTACCCGACAGGACCCCCAGCGCGCAACTCTCGAACCCAACGCTACCGCGCAGCTGAGTTGAGGCGCGCAGCCGCCGCGCGGCACTCGAAGGGGCCACCCCTCTCCACACCAAGCCCCAACGGGCCCTGTCCGCAGCGGGGGGTGTCCCATGGAGCATCTGGCCCCGATTCCCCACGGGAGACCATCCGCCGCAGACAGAGCTCACGGGGAGCCCCCCGACGGACCCTGTCCGCGGCGGGGGGTCTCCAATGGAGAATCTGGCCCCGATTCCCCACGGGAAACCATCCGCCGCGGACGAGGCCCGAAACCATGTCAAACGGGACCTCCCAGGGCGGGTTTTCGAAGCCCCGACGCCATGCCAAACGGGACCTCCCGGGACCATCACTACCCAAAACTGCAAGTAAAACAATAGAAATCATTAAAATATTGCCAAAATCGCAAAAAAAACACGGAAAATCACTAAAATATGCCCAAAATCACCGCCCAGGGGCCGTATACCGCCCGACGGACCCTGTCCGCGGCGGGGGGTCTCCCGTGGAGAATCTGGCCCCGATTCCCCACGGGAGACCATCCGCCGCGGACGGGGACCGGGACACGGACCAAAACGGGACCTCACAGGGGGCGGTTTTCGAAGCACGCGTGCATGCCAAACGGGACCTCCCCGGTCGGGTTTCGAAGCGGGCCCGACACCTGTCAAATCCAAGCCGAACACCATGCCAAACGGGACCTCCGGAACCATCACGGCCCAAAACTCAAAAAAAAACTAGAAATCATTAAAATATTGCCAAAATCACACCAAAAAAAAAAAAAAAAAACAAAAACAAAAAACAACGGAACTCACAAAACATATCACCAAAATCACCGCCAGGGGGCCGTATACCGCCCGACGGGCCCTGTCCGCGGCGGGGGGTCTCCCGTGGAGAATCTGGCCCCGATTCCCCACGGGAGACCATCCGCCGCGGACGGGGCCCGACACCATGCCAAACGGGACCTCCCGGGGCGGGTTTTCGAAGCCCCGACACCATGCCAAACGGGACCTCCCGGGGCGGGTTTTCGAAGGGGCCCGACACCATGTCAAATCCAAGGCCCGACACCATGCCAAACGGGACCTCCCGGGACCATCATCACCCAAAACTGCAAAAAAACACTAGAAATCATTGAAATATTGCCAAAATCACAAAAAAAGCGGAAAATCATTAAAATATACCCAGAATCACCCCCCGGGGGCCGTATACCGCCCAGGGGCCGTATACCGCCCGACGGACTCTGTCCGCGGCGGGGGGTCTCCCGTGGAGAATCTGGCCCCGATTCCCCACGGGAGACCATCCGCCGCGGACGGGGACCAACACCATGTCAAACGGAACCTCCCGGGGCGGGTTTTCGAAGCCCCGACACCATGCCAAACGGGACCTCCCGGGACCATTACTGCCCAAAACTGCAAAAAAACACTAGAAATCATTAAAATATAGCCAAAATCACAAAACAAAACAGTGAAAATCACTAAAATATACCGGGGAGCGCCCGCAAGCGGGCGACACATTTCACCCCGCCCGCCGGAGGGCGCAACCGCAACCGCAACCGCAACCGCAACCGCAAAATCATTAAAATATCCCCCAAATCCTAAACCTAAACCTAAACCTAAACCTAAACCTGAACCTAAACCTAAACCTAAACCTAAACCTAAACCTGAACCTAAACCTAAACCTAAACCTAAACCTAAATCTAAACCTAAACCTAAACCTGAACCTAAACCTGAACCTGAACCTGAACCTGAACCTGAACCTGAACCAAAAACTAAACCTAAACCTGAACCTAAACCTAAACCTAAACCTAAACCTGAACCTGAACCTGAACCTGAACCTGAACTTGAACCTGAACTGAAACATGACTAGAACCTGAACGAACCTGAACCTAACTGAACCTGAACTGAAACCTGAATTTGGCCAGTTCCTCAACCTCAACCTGAACGTGAACCAAACCTAAACCTAAACCTAAACCTTAAACCTAACGATTGGAACCTAAACACTAAACCTAAAAACCAAATCTAAACCCTGAACCTGAACCTGAACCTAAACCTAAACCTAAACCTAAACCTAAACCTAAACCTAAACCTAAACCTAAACCTGAACCTGAACCTGAACCTGAACCTGAACCTGAACCTGAACCTGAACCTGAACCTAAACCTAAACCTAAACCTAAACCTAAACCTGAACCTGAACCTGAACCTGAACCTGAACCTGAACCTGAACCTGAACCTGAACCTGAACCTGAACCTGAACCTAAACCTAAACCTAAACCTAAACCTAAACCTAAACCTGAACCTGAACCTGAACCTGAACCTGAACCTGAACCTGAACCTGAACCTGAACCTGAACCTGAACCTGAACCTGAACCTGAACCTGAACCTGAACCTAAACCTAAACCTAAACCTAAACCTAAACCTAAACCTAAACCTAAACCTAAACCTAAACCTAAACCTGAACGTGAACCTAAACCTAAACCTAAACCTAAACCTAAACCTAAACCTAAATCTAAACCAAAAAAAAAACGCTGAAAATCACTGAAATATGCCCAAAATCACCGCCCGGGGGCCGTTTTCGAAGGGACCCGACACCATGCCAAACGGGACCTCCCGGGGCGGGTTTTCGAAGGGGCCCGACACCATGTCAACCAAGGCCGACACCATTGCCAAACGGACCTCCCGGACATTACTCACCCCCCTCCAACCCCTGCAAAAAACACTAGAAAATCATTAAAAATTATAGCCAAAATCCACAAAAAAAAAAACACTTGAAAAACACCAACCATATACCAAAAACTGCAACAAACAACCAGCACTGTCCGCGGCGGGGGGTCTCCCGTGGAGAATCTGGCCCCGATTCCCCACCAGAGACCATCCGCCGCGGACGGGGCCCGACACCATACCAAACGGGACCTCCCGGGGCGGGTTTTCGAAGGGGCCCGACACCATGTCAAATCCAAGGCCCGACACCATGCCAAACGGGACCTCCCGGGACCATTACTACCCAAAACTGCAAAAAAAACACCAGAAATCATTAAAATATAGCCAAAATCACAAAAAAAAAAACACTGAAAATCACCAAAATATACCCAAAACTGCAAAAAAACACCAGCACTGTCCGCGGCGGGGGGTCTCCCGTGGAGAAACTGGCCCCGATTCCCCACCAGAGACCATCCGCCGCGGACGGGGCCCGACACCATGCCAAACGGGATCTCCCGGGGCGGGTTTTCGAAGGGGC